GCAGCTCCCCTAAGTTTGTGTTTCTGTGTGTTTTAAGTAGGATATCACTCCAATAATTCATGAATTCATTTCCCTACACCAGAAACAGGGTAATGAGGGGTTTTGGCACCCCCACTTCTCTACCCCCCATGATTTACAAAAATACATTAATCTGTCCTTTGATAAACTAAGCAGAATATTTTAAGCAAAATTCTCCTGATTCAACCTTCTCCTTTGGAATTAAAGAAAGGAAGAAAATGATAGGGGAACTTGAAGCCAAGGATAATGTAAAACCTCCCCCTTTGTGCCAAAATTTTTTGGAAAAACAACCATTCCTTCTTCAAGTGTCCTTAAACCCAATTAGAACATTTAATTGCTACAAAATTGATTTTCTTTCTTATGCTTTTAAGAGCACATCTGCAGGGAACCTATGAAAAAAAGTGAATGACCATACTCGATTAATTTGCAAACGCTTCTGATTGTATGAGCAAACCTGACAGGTCCCTAGGAGGAGGAATCTGTGCCTGAACTATCAGCTGAGCCTGGGGCTGGGAGCTAGGCTGTGTTTCTGAAGGGATGGGCTTGTGTGCGTACAAACAGATCCCAAGGAGCATCAAGGAAACTGTTTGCATAGGCTGACTTAAAACACTTTCCCATTCACCAAAATATGTAAAGCTCTTGGCCAGAAAGGAAAACAGAACTTACTGAATCCTTAAGAGTGTCCAAATTTCAGTCATTTGGTCATTATGTTTATAGGATGCTAAAAGATATAAGTAATATTTTCTTTCATTTATGTTGTTCCTTCTTTGAGCAACTATTTTGGTATCCGTATAAACAAGCTTAAAGGGTTATTTGCAGGAGTTTAGAAAGTGTTTGGTTATTATTACAATGTGCCCTTGAGCTTTAGTATATATTTACAATGTGCATATTGTAAATTATTTACCACAGCTTTGAAATAATTAAACAGATAATTATCTCCATCTACAAATCATGTAGGGCCACAGGGCCCCCCATGAATGATGAAGTGAAATCAACTAGTTAGGAAATTAACCAATAGGTAGATGAACTACCATTAACATGATAACCATTAGATTTGTGATATCATAGACCTACATTTTCTTATTCCTTTCTTCCTAGACATTATCACGTTCATTTGATGAGTTCATTTTTTTTTTTTTTTGGAATGAACATATTTGAAAACACATAGTTTAAAATTTCAACAAATGGTTCAAATAAGAAAGCCAGTTTTTACAAGTTTGGCTTTTCCTTAAATGCACTTTCGTTTGGTCGTGTATCCATAGATGTGAAACCAAGGTTCTCTAATCATATTTTCTGTACCATAAATAAATACATACACTCGTAGTGGAAGAGAATTTTGGAAAATGGAACTATATTAAACAATCTAGGAAACCAAACATAAATAATAATAATAATAATAAAATCTCTCAAACTCAAAATTCCAAACAGTTTCAAACTATGATATTCGTTTATGTGTGTATGCATATGTATAGATATAGATATAGATATAGATATAGATATAGATATAGATATACACATTTAGATAGATGTACACACATATATACATATATACACAAAATTGTATACATAAACACACATACACAACACACATACTTACACACACTTCTCACACACACACTCACAGATTCAGTGCAGTTTCTTTTCTGTAGCTGCCTGTCTTTTTTCCAACTTAGAACAGAATGATGAGATGCTGGGGAAGGTCAATCCTATTTGGATTTCTGAGCTGTCTTGAACAAAAACCAAGACTGTTTAAAAAGCTGAGAGGTAAAAAATAGCAGGAACATGCATGTACACACACGCACACATACACCTATTTCACGTCTTGGGAAATTTGCCCGGGGAACCTGTAAATAGCACAGCAGGCAGTTGCAGCGCCATCCTCCTGGCATGGAAGCTAGTCTACCACTTTGGGTTTCAGAGCATCTCAGTACTCAGCAGATACTTGCTCTACATGACAGCCCCTCAATAGGGCGCGTGCCATGAAGTACAACCTGTGACCGGCAAACCTACCCCTCCAAATCTGCCTTTCCTTTATCTCCGAGGGAAACGCCTGTCTAATGGAACTTGCAATTTAAAATGGCTAATGACCTTCAGGGAGGATGTCAGGCTGGATTCTTCCTAGCTACCTTTTCCTTAGAGTAGAAGAAACCAGAAACAGGTGAAATCCAGAGAACAGACAGAAGGGATTATACAATGAGCTGGTTAAGGGGTCAGCCTCTGGAGTCCAACAAACCCAGATGAAAATTTGGCTCTGCCACTGTTGAGTTATGTGCTACTTTACCTTTCTGAGCCTCACTGACTTCATCTGTAAAAAGATTCCAGTAGTGGGGCCAACTTCATTGGGTTATTTAGGATTAAATGAGAGAAGGCATGTAATGCACTTAGTAGAGTTTCCGGCACACAATAATGCAGTCATGTGCCACAGAACGACATTTTGTCAACAATGGACCACATATACAACGGTGTTCCCATCAGATTAGTGCCATAGAGCCTAGGTGTGTAGTAGGCTGCACTGTGTAAATGCACACTGTAATGCTTGCACAATGATGAAATCACCTAACGACGCATTTCTCAGAAAATATCCCCATCGTTAGTGATGCATGACTGTAATTCCTTAATACACATTATTTATAACTTAATATTTAAATTATAAATCTAGAATGTTGATCAGAACTACATGCAGAAATGATGTTAGTCTAGAGTTTGGGTGATCTGAATTCAAGTTCTATATTCCAAGCTTGATTTCCTAGTAGATTATAATATTCACCACAGTGACCTGTACATGGTATGCACTCAACAAATACCTGCTGAATGCGTGCATGAACAAATAAATAAACGAATGACTGACAAACTCTCTGGGTCCTCAGTTTCCCTTATATAAAATGGTGATAGAATGACTGAACCTTCAGTCCATCACTGGAATGTTGGTATGATAAATTAAAGGAAAAATGTCAAGTTATTAAGATACAAATGTGTTCTGTGTCTTAATAAAGTCAGTGCATACAAATGAAATAATAAGTCTCAGTAGCCAGGGCCTGTGCTTAGACTTATCCCATCTTTTAAAACAAGGTCATGGGGGCTACCTGTGTGAGTCTGAGGATCATATTTGCCAAGATCTAAGGATCATCTTTAGTGAGGGGATACTCAACTCAAAGAAACACAGCACCCAATAAGCAGTTAAAGATGATGAGATCATTGGCCTGTTCTGAGCACTCTTGCTGCCCTTTCCTGTTTCATTCATTCTGAGAGCACCTTGCTGTCCACTGTTGACCAGCTTGAAAAACCTCCCTAACAGGGTCGAGTGAACTAAAAATGCTCCCAAAGTGCTTTACAACAAATTCATTTAGCTGTTACAAGGTTGATGACTTCACTGAAGTATCATTTTTCTGAGGCAAAGAGAGACTGAAGTAGAAGAGATCTAGACCACAGGCCTGTCCCATCACCACTGGAACCTGGGGAAAAATGACATACGTCTCTCTTTCAATTTCAGCATGCACATCAGTATAAAGGGCTAATTGTGTTTAATTTCAAATAACCTCTATACAGATTTCAGGTGGTACTAATTATTTTTGTTTTATTTCATCCTATCTCTTGACCCAGAAGTCTTTCTCTCCATGGTTAGAATGCTCCAGAAAATTTGACCCAACTCTTACTTCAGGGTTTCTCAATCTCAGTGTTACTGACATTTTGGGCTGGATAACTCCTTGTTGTGGGGGCTAGCCTGTGCATTACGGAATGTTTAGCAGCATCCCTGATCTTTATCCATTGGATACCAGTAGCACCTCTCAAGTCATGACAGTCAAAAATGTCCCCAGGCATTGCCAAAAGTCCCATGGGGCACAAAATCTCTCCTGCATGAGAGTCTTTGCCTTAAATGCACATAACCCACACAAATCAGAGAAGAGTGCTTCCTGAAATTGTTTCCGTCTGTCTCTCCCATATAAGAAGAAACTGCTCACCACTGTCTGCAATTGAGAAAAACTGCTAGTGATCAATATGAATCCTATGTTTATTTCAAGGCATTCTTTTACTTTTTTTTCTTTCTTCCTTTTTCTCTTTTTTTTTTTGAGTAAGATGCCACTAGTGACTATATGAAAACCCAGAAATCTATAATTTTTGAATTTTGCATCAGGAGACCAGCTTTACTCAACATTCTCAAGGACTGACATCCATAATAAAGACAAACTATTGTGCCGAACTAAAGGGTGTTAAACTTTGTAAACTTGAAAATCCTATCAACAGCAGCAGAGCATTGTCTGATGGAGCGCCAGAAGGTGAGAGGAGGCACAAAGAGACCAGGCAGCGCTCCACTCTGCTGTGCACAGGGTCGCTAGGAGTTGGAATCAATTCTACAGTACCAACAACAACAAAAAACTTTGTAACCAAAGACCTTTTCTATGCACTCAGATAGCATTACCATGGACATTAACCACTGACTCAACACCAACCTAAAAATCGCACGTGCGCGCGCACACACACACACACACACACATTCACACAGAGATGCAATTACAAAGCAACTCGTCTCCACCACTTTCTTGTGCATCAATCTTGCTTCCATTTGTGATGGATGGAGCCAACATCAGCAGGGAGAGAGTCTGACGTTATGTTGATTTTTATTGTGCAAATGCAGGTAAATTAGCTAAAGGTCAATTCTAAGAATAAACTGACAAGATGGAAAAGGTTGCTGGAGAGAGCAGACTTACTAAATCCTCCATTTGGCATGTAAGTGCTTTTAGAAGGCTGGTTAACAGGAAAATCACCACCCTCCTCTCCCAGGACAAACCCCTTAACAGCTGCTGGGCCAGGGCACATTTTTCTTTTGCTTTTTCAAAGTAAATTCCCTAAATAAAGCAAGGATGACAGTCTAGGAATTAAGAATAAACACAATTTGTTCACAAACAAGAGGAACATTGTTTGAAGGTTAGGAAGCTGGGGAAGTAAAAATATCCCACTTAGGAAGTAGAGGAGGGAAGCCAAGCTGAATCAAATTTAACGTTTATTTTTAAAATCTTGGCCAAATAATCTTAATTAGCAGCTCAAATTCATTAGTTTCATGAACCATTCTTCACTCTCCTTTGGCAGTAGTCTTTACTTAAATATTCACTGATGATCATGACAAGCATAAATTTCAGCCACTCATTCTCCATTTCTTGTAGCTTGTGGGAATTTGATACCTATCTAGATATTCAGTTATATGGATAGAACCAATTGGACCACCAAAACCCTCCAAAATTTCTTCTATCTAAATAATCATAGTATGGCCATCTCCCGTGGGCAGAGTGAGTGGAAAATTACAGAAGTTCACCTTCCTCGTGTCATTGCATATGGAATATGACTACTATTTTGAATTCACTCCTTATTTCTTTCTTTTGTATTTATTCTCCCTCAAGAGTTTTGCTTGAAGTTTTTAGTTAACATTGGGGTTCAGCATCTTCAGCTATCTGAGAGCTTCATAGTCCTGTGTGAGTCAAATTGGACAAAATTAGCAGTTCAAGGACTCAGGGTTTTATTGGTGAAATGCAGATGAATTCACTCATCATTCCATATTCATTTTGGTGGTGTTTGTAAGTGTAGTTAATGCCTCTAGGGCCATATACATGATTAAATTACGGATTACTCTCAAGTTCCTCTGCCTCACACTGCATGAGAGCCTGGAAATGAACAACTCTCCTTGGAAAGGTCATTATTTCTATTCCTTGTTGGGTATCATTAGGATACATCTCGCTCAGAGATGTGCTCCCACCCACCCAGAGATAGACGATATTGATGCAGGCTTTCAGTGTGGCAAAAAAAAAAAAAAAAAAGGTTGCCATGCAGATGAAAGGGCAGAGGAATCATAGAAATCTATCTGCCCTAGTCCTGGGATGTTCTTCTTTGAGCCTCTTCTCTTAAGACAATGAATTATGCAAGCTTTGACTTATTTGTAGTGGAAAGAATGTGAGAAGAATTGAGGAAGTGACACTAGGAAGTGAGAGAAATGTTGACCTCTGCATAGTCCTAAATAGCAGAATTTCTCAAAGTAACATCCACAGACCATCCCATCAAAATCATTAAGGACGTCAGCCCAAAAGGCAGATTCGTTGTTCTTCTTGAAGTTTCTGAATCAGACTCTATGGGGTTAGAGTGAAGGAATCTGCATTTTTATAAGTGCTACAAATTATTTTTGTGCACGCTAAGTATTGAAAAAGACTGCTAAAAAGTTTGCAGTGGAGATCATTGGGAAAAGAATCTCCCTCCCAATGTTTATGGTAAGATGAGGAAAACAGACATTTCAAACAAACAAGCTCTACGGTTGCATCACAATGTTGCAATTATTATAGGTTAAGACTCTTTTCTTTCAGCAGGGATGGAGAGCAATAACCATTTCATCTGAAACCACAATGATGATGGCGATATAAATCAAAACCATTCCAGCAGGTTTCATTTGGTCTAATTTCTCTGCAGATATTAATCATTGTACAGTCCTGTACAAATGACGTCTAACTCCATTTTAACTCAGAATACAGAATGCTCATTCTGATTCTTTCTCTAGTGTATTATTTTGACAACATAAAAGAAAATAAATAAATTGGAACAGTGGGCCATCAAGATTGCAAGATGCCAACAATACCAAGACATTAAAGAGAGAAATGGCCCATGCTAAACCTATAACCCAGCATGCAAATTGGCATAAACATTTATCTGCCACAGAGTCACCAGGAGGGAAAAATAACTCCCTTCATTTTTTCTTTGAAAACTGCTATGTCAAGTGGAGGTGACAAAGAATTCTTCCTAAAAGTTCACAAGAAAGAGTCTTATTAATCCTAGTAAAGATCATCTGGAAGACCAAGGTTAGTCAAATTCCATGGCATGCTATCTAGTGGCAGAAAACACCCGCACTCAAGTGCTCTGGGTTAATCCACTGTGGTAAACACAAAGTTGGAAGGTTGAAATTGTTGCAAAGGAAAATGCATGCGAATCCAAGTTTGGCTCCCATTACAGGAGCTGGCATTTAGGTAATTGTGCAAAACACTATGTACATCTTTGGTTTTCTTGCTGGAGTATGTTTTGCTTGGCACAAAGGATAATCAGAGTGGAATCTAAAGGCTAGAGAAGCAAAAGTAACCAAGAAGCACAAGCAGTGGCCACTAAGAGGACCCCGAATGAACAGCACGCGTCTATGCCTATGGATAAAAGTGCCTCTGAGTCGAACGAGGCCAATTGAAAAGTGAGATTCAGATTAGCTCCCCTTTAGTAAATGTGTCCCTCTAAAATCAATCGGGTGAGGTCAACATAGCTATGCAGGAATAAAGAGCAAAGGGAACACATAATTTGTGCATTGTTCCCCTTTTATTTGAATTCACCATGCATGCATTTCCAGTAAGATAACTGTGCCTACAATTACAAAGGATAACATCACTGCATATTGAGCAAGCCATTTTAGTTTGTTGTTTTCTGGCCTCTTCTCAGTGCAATTTTTTCTTAGCAGCGGGAGGGAGAGCACACTACCACAATGATCTAACAGCTTTACTTTCCTGTCTTCCCCTTTTGCTGATGAATGTAGATCACTCTCTTTTTGATTGTGGGTATGAGGACTTTATAAATATGTTTCTGACTTCAGGAGACCCACGTGCCTGTAGAGAAAGACTTCCCCAAGCTCACTGGATTTTAGCATTGTAGGATTTCCCAGGAGGCAACCTCAGTTGAGGCTCTACACATGCTTTCTCATTCATTTGACCCATCTGATGCTATTCGTTTCTTCATATCAGCAATTTATGGTCCTTGTCATAACCAATGTTCAAGAAGCAAACCACATATACTGTTCTGTCCAGAATTGAACTAAAAGTTCTAAAAACTATTTTAAGTTTGGAAAAACAGGCCTGATTCACAGTGACTACCAAGGCTACTAGAACATTTAATCTTATAACTCACTTACCCAGAATGCATTTCCAGTGTTGCAGGCCACATGGGCTTCACTTGACAACTCCATTCAAACTAGGACTGAAGACTTCCATTTACTTGGTGCCTCCTCAGGGCTTTTTATTAACCAGGTCTATATTCCTCTCAATACCAACACCCATGCAAATGAACACCATGTTGTTGTCTTAACTATTTGGACTATTTGGGATGGGTGTCAGTCTAGAGCTTGTCCAGATTAAAAATGTTGTTGTTGTTTTAAACAGATTTTCTACCACTAGTTTTGTTCACTGGGGATACAAAGAGTGCCTAAGCAGAAAAAAAAAATCATGACAAGTCAAGGGACAGAGACATATGCCATGAACATTTTCTTTGCAGTGTTTAATTTCCTACTATAGTATGTAGAAGAAGTAGTGAGTCAACTGCCATCTTATTAGTTCTCCAGCTCTTACTGGTAGATCTCTATCCTGATGCCATTAAAGTCAGGTCTGAAAGTTAAGGAAGTTGGACTTTGGCCATTTCATTCAGACCCAAACTCTTTGACACATTTCCAGTAGGTCGACATTTGACCAAAAAGAGTTTGGGGATATTTTCATCATGTCCAACTTCTTCTTGACCCATTAAGTTCTGTGATTATTTGTAAGATCTATTATTAGGATGATGGTATTTTGATGTGGTATTAAGAAACATTAAAAAGAATGAAGACATTTTGGTAGGTTTTACACAGCTATGTTGTAGTTAAAATCAAATGTTTGCTAACATGTTAATACATAAAAGATTCCCACTTAAATTGATAAATTATAATTCTCTTGACAACTCAACTCCCCAGATGAACTTTTTCACTTAAGTAAAACTTTAAACTCCATTCAAACCATCAGGACAAGAAAACATTGGCTGAATCTGTCACCCTGGTGTGAAGGCAAGAATTACAAAAATTCAAAGATATGCATATACTAATAGGCACTAATAACAGGAATCAAGACAGAACCTCTTACATAATAAATGTGCATCAATGAAAGATTTCAAAAAGAAGCAACTGGTCATCATTTTTCCCTCCCATAGACATCATCCAGTTGTCTTTATTACCTGTGATACATATACACATACGCACACACACAATAAAAAAAATAGGAGTGCTTGGCACACAATTAATAATTGACAAATTATTTTTTCCATTCCCACTGAAATGCATGAGGAATGCTGAAAACAAAAACCGGTCTTTTAGTCTTCATTTACCACAAGGCTATGAAAGAGTTATTGGTACATTAATAGAATACAGAGTCACATGGATGGATGGCTATTAACAGTTTACTTTTGGCTGTGTCTATACAGGTCAAGGATGTAATCAAGAAAGAGAGTTTATAAAGCCAAAAACCTTAATTTTGGAGCTCCAGTTATCTAGTTGGGTTGTTCATTCAGGCATAGCTTGTATAGACACAGCCAAATCCCAGAATCCCAAAGGCAAACAAAACTGGCTACAAGAAAGGAACAATGGAGCACTGTGGTTTTAAAACGTTATGAGAAATTATTAGCAAGTGTGTGGAATACAACTGCCTCTTAAACAAACAAAAGGCCAGACCCTTATTCAAGTACTGTGTGTTTTTCTTACTTCCACAACTACATAGAAATGCAGAGAACTTAATGTGGATTATGGGAAAAGGCCATACCATTAAAACATGGGCAGTAAGAACTCTGAAAACAATGAGAGAAGGAAGATAATTCAGCTCAGGGTAGAGAAGGCTGACTGTGGGGTTGTTTAGTAGGAATTTGTGTGGATATGAATGTTTGTTTTTTTAACACAAAGAAGGTTTGACCAGCTCTTCTCACCCTCTCCTAGCACAGAGAAAGAGCAACACGGTAGAACAGACCCTACAGGTGTTAATTTCAAAACAAGGAATACAATTGGTTGATGATGAGGGTTATTGGATGTTAGAAAGTGTTGCCAAGAGAGGCTGGGAAACCTTCCCGGAAGGGTTTTAAGAAAAGAGCAGAGGCTCATCTGTCTGAAGTGCTCTAAGAGAGTGCTGCCGGGAGCAGGGGCACACCCCTCAGAATGGCCCAGCCCTGGGGTCATGTGCACTGTGTGTATATACATACTTCGTTGTGCTTGTGTTGCACAAATACTCATGCATACGGAGTCGCTATAAACTGGCACATAACAGATTTGAGTGAAAAGTCATATAAATCTGCCATTTTCCCCCTTACCCCATAAATAAAAGGAAAAGGAAAATTTTAAAAATCCAAACATATGTCATTGGGCCAGATCTCTTTCTACCATCTTCTCGTTCAAAGGAACGAGGTAGAAGATGAGAGAAAAACCCAGTTTGAGATCAATGACTCCCAAGGCCTCTCAGCTACTCTTATGTAGCCAGCTCTCATTATATAAGATATTCAGCACATGGGACCAAGTTAACAAACAAACAAACAAATAACCAAAAAAAGATTTTCTTATACTTCCACATCTGGAAAGAAATCTACCCTGTGGATTTAGATGTTAAGGTGAACTAGGTAAATAGGCAGTAGTATATCAATGGGCTATTATGGTCTAACAAACAGGTATTGTTAGTTATTTTTCTTTTCAAATATGAATTTCTTTTAGAAGGTTTCTTTCAAAATGGTGACATGATTTGTTTCTTCTCCCACCCCTGAGCCCTCCCCTATAGATGATACTTCCGTAAGAGTTCAGATTGCCAAGGATGTTTCCTCTCCGGAAACCGATCTGGAATTTTGATCTTTAGGAAATCCTGGATGCATTTCTCCAGCTCTTCCTCAACGGAGAGCTTTTCCTTAACAGCCTTTTTTTTGCTGCTCATGTTCGACTCCCTGGAGCCTGAAGTCAGAGTCCGGAGCAGATCGCTTTTCCGCCGCATCTCTGACTGTTGGATCAGCTGGACGGGGCCCTTCTTGATGGGACGGTCCAGAGTCTGGATGTTGGTCTGGCGTGTCACGGGCCCACAGATGACCGTCTCCTGGGGAGAACTGGCCTCAGACTGGCTGTCGCAGCTGGAGGTGGAGAGGTCGTTGCAAGACGTGCCGCTCTCCCCTTCTTTGTCGCCCTTGCCGTTCTTGCAGCAGCAATCACAGTGCGAGGAGGACCACCTAGAAGGCTCACCTGCAAGGAAGCACAGGACCCGAGAGATTAACACCAGCCAGCTCAGCGTGGAGCAGCAGCGTAGCACCTGAACACACGCATACACACACGCAAGCATCCATAATCACGTCTTCAGAAGAAGTTGCAATAGGAGCACCCAGAAGCCAAGTCCAGTGGAGGGGGAAGCTAATAATGGCATGCTGTGTAAGAGGAAATATAATGCTAAAGCCCATGGGTGCTGTAATCAAAAGCCCTGGGTAAGAATACTCAACTATACCATTTCCTGACTTTGTTCCCCTGGCCGACTCCTTAAATTCTCAAAACTTTTGTTTCCTCATCTGTGAGATGAGGATGATAATAGTCCTACTACCTAGAATTGTAAGGAGGATTTAGACAAGTCAAGTAAAATTCTTAGTGATGTACACGACACATGGCAAGCACTCAGTAAGTGCTAGCTGATTTTACTGTGGCTGACGTTAAACCCTAATCCAAGCCCCACATGGTAGCAGTCAGGTAACGCAGGGGGAGTCTGTAAGACTGGAACGACAGTCAGCCCTCGGGAGGGCTTACTTTGTGCCAGCCTCCATGGAAGCTCTGTGCACCCATCAGTTCACTGGATTCTCAGAATAATTCTATGAACTCAGTAGCTCCACTTCCATACAAGGAAGCTGAGATCCTGAGAATTTAAGGAACTTGCCATAGTTTGTACAATTTGTAAGTGGCAGAGCTGGGATTTGAGTATAGATTTTCAAAATATCATAATCAAGACAAATAACCATTTTTCTTCAATTTGCCTGTCTGTAAAATTCCTGCTTCTCTTTCAAAACAATGCTCAAGGTTTCACTTTTCACTCAAGTCCTCGTTCAACTCTCCTCAGAAATATTTGCCAGTTTTTCCTCCGAATTATGGCTTCATTTTGTAAGTGCCTCTATTATTGCACATATCACATTCCATTATAACATTTTTTACCTTATGCATCTCAGCTACTATATCATGAGCTTCCTGAGGTGGGCACAGTGTGGGTACATTGCTGTAATCCCAACAAATAATTCAGAGCACAGTGTAGAAATTCAATAAAAAACAGTATCCTAAGAATACTTTTTAAGTACCTTGATCCATCCATACCTGAAGCTAGTGCTGTCAGTAGATTTTCAGTTATATGATCCACCAGTTATATTTAAGCCAGTGTAAATCCTTCTTTCCCTCTTTCTCCCTAAGTCTTGACTCATAGCGCTGCATTCAGCTATTTGGAGGCAGAACCATTTTTCTGCTTAGTTGGTGGCTCCCTGAACTAGAAAATCCACAATCATGGCACAAAGCAATTTCTTTTTTTTTTTTATCTCCCCAACCCCCCCCCCCCCCCCCCACCCCGCACGCAGTTGTATATCTTAGCTGCATGTCCTTCTAGTTGTGGGATGTGGGACACCGCCTTAACGTGGCCTGACGAGCGGTGCCATGTCCGCGCCCAGGATCCGAACCCTGGGCCACCACAGCAGAGCGCGCGAACTTAACCACTTGGCCACGGAGCCGGCCCCAGCAATTTCTTAAATATAAGTCACTGCTCCCAGACTCCCACACTCTGAACAGCCATAGTCTTCTTGGAGTCATGAACTTGATACTATTTACTGATCATATATCATGCACTGGGCACTTCATATAGTTCATTGCACTTAAATCATAAAAAATAAAGGGAAATGAATCTCCTTTATGATGCTAATATTGAGGATAAGAATAATGCAGTATCTTTGTACGTTTTAAAGGAGACCCAGTTTTGATTTGTATTATATCTTATTCTCATAAATAATGAGTCACTTATAATAAGGCCCTGCTTTATTGCCATTTTTAATATGGTTGAAGTAGAGGAAACCTAGAATGGAAACTATTTGGAAAGTTATGTCCTGTCTTCTTGTATAATGCCTGTCCTTTTTGTATCTCAATGATGTAAAAATTTGTAGCAACTTATCTTCCAATTTTCCAGAGGCAGTAAAAAAAAAAAGGCCCCATAAATCACAACTCCAAAAGTATCTCTAACATATACACACTCTTTCAGACCTCTTTTGAAAATGTGTCTGAGTAATCATGGCATTTATATACCCATTAAATTAAATGCGACAATCCAATTAGCCAAAAGGAATCACCACAGTGGTAACGTCCTAGTTATCCCCTGCTATTACAGATAAATATCCTCCACGCAACAGAGGAATTGTTCAGCATGGACCAGCTGGTGACTGGAAATATCGGCAACAGAAAATGGCTTCTGTCTGCCAGCTTGGATTCTGAGGGGATCATTTTTCTCCTTCAGAAGGCAAATCTGCTTCTGCCTCTCCAAACTCAGCCATCCCTACGCTAATATGACTTGATGGAGAAAGGGCTCCAATGAATTGGGTCAAGGCAAAGTAATCACGTCAACTGAGAGTTGATCTGGTTTGATCCTTTTTGAGAAAGTTTAGAAATCGAACTTAGCCTTCAAAAAAAAAAAAAAAAGAAGAGGAAGAGAGGAAAGACAGAACAGAAAGAAGAAGGAGAAGAAATATATGCTGAGATATGCCTGCCTATTACCTTAAAACAGGATGACAAGATATTTTGGTCATAAACCCTGCTGAACCAGTGGAAATGCAAGCCTGTGTTTTCCTGCCCGAGAGTTGCTTTCCCCATGGTAAAGTCACTCCATTCAGCAGACTCGGAGGGAAACCTGAGGCTTTTCTGAAAGCCATTTGAACAACACAAACACCCTCATGTGAAGGAGCCCTGTGTATTCATGTGGAAACTGCATGCAGCCCTCCACTGCATGTCCCAGCCCAGAACCTGGCACGGGTGCAGCCACTTCTTCCCTGAACTGCTGCGATGATCATGCACTTCAATGTCAGCTCGAATCCTCCAGCTTCCAGGCAAATAGAAGTATTTCTTTCTAGAAGTATGACTTATTCTAGGCACTATCACTATTAAAGGGAAATTGAACAACTTACTTTTAGGGGAGCCTGTCATACTACCACGTTTCAATATTTTATGAGATCACTTGAACGCTTTGCCATTTTGGCAAGATAATTCTTAAGATGGCTTTTGCGGTCTGTGTATTATGTTGAAATCAAGAAATAAGATGGGATTGGGGGCCGGCCCCGTGACCGAGTGGTTAAGTTAGTGCGCTCCGCTGTGATGGACCAGGGTGTCGCCGGTTTGGATACTGGGCACGGACATGGTGCCACTCATCAGGCCACGTTGAGGTGGTGCCCCACTAGAAGAAACTGCAACTAAAATATACAACTATGTATGGGGGTGATTTGGGGAGATAAAGCAGAAAAAAAAAGAGAAGAAGATTGGCAACAGTTGTTAGCTTAGGTGCCAATCTTTTAAAAAAAAAATGAAATATGATAGGATTAATACAATCCAGCAATCCAGCTGGAGGTGCTGTGTGAGGAGTCATTGTGAAATTTGCCAGATAATAAAATGTGGGAAGATAACCACCCCGTTTCTTTTTGGGAAGCATTGTTTATCTGATTACCCTCTTCCCAAGAACTTAACCACAATAGAGATTTTAAACCAAAACACAGAAGACAGACATGTGGGTGCAGACCCTTTTGCCCTCACAGTCCCACTGACATTCTCACCACTCCTGGAAAGTGGGGAAAGATCCGTGAAAGGTCATTTCTGAAACTTAAAGTATTCTAGAATCCCCCAATTATAGCAAATAATGATCTCATAAATACCTTGGTACTTCAAATTGGAACATACTTTTGCTCCCAGTTTGCTGAGGTTTCAATACTGGCTGGAATAATTCTCTCGATTTGTGGAGAAAATTGGCTACAATTGATTACCCAGGTATAGGAAGAAAGCCATTTCATTCCAAGAAAACTCTGATTTACTGATATTAAAAAAGCAAAAAATCTACTGCTTTTTAGGGGCTTATTAACCAGTTACTGGTCAAAGAGCCTAACAGCTCTACCTTATTTTTAAATAAACCATTGCTGAATTTGTTGGATATTGTATCATTTTTGGTGCCTGGCACACAATAGAGGTTTGATAAATGTTTGATGAACGAATGAATGAGCCATACACTTGTGTTGACTTGCATCAAGCTGATAACATAGCAGGGTAGATTTCCGGCTCCAGAGTCAGGTCCCACAATTTGTCAGCTTGGATAAATTCCTTCATGTCTCTGAGCCTCAGTTTTCTTATCTGAAATATAAGGCTAATGATAGTATCTTCCTCACAGGGGTTTCAGGAAAATTAAGTGAGATAGTTAATGTAAAGATGTTTTATGGTTTGTGGCACCCAATAAGCTTTCCATTTATTTGTATGTATTTGTTCTACTATAAGTCAGACACTGATCTACAGAAATAAAACAAATTAGGAGCATGTTAGGTACGACTATTATGTTGCCACCAATAGACTACACAGCCAATTCTTAGGTCTGGCTAGACCATTGTGTTAGGAAGGATACTGATGCTGTATTGGACTCATCAGAAAACGTATATGGAGCATTCAGCAATGCCTGACTTTGCTGTGCAAGGGGAGCATAACCACAAGCATGTACAATGTCTGGCACATAGTGTGTGACCAGGAGATAGTTTTGGAAAGAAGGTTCCTTTACAGTGCAGTGCTCAGCATTTCACAAATGGATGAGTCTTGTAGGATAAAAATTTACTTGAGGACACATCAACTACATTTAAGCCCAGGGCAGGGAGGAATTTGTAGTTTGGATTAACTGGGAAGGGACAGGAAACTCAACTGCCCCAAGTCCTTAAAGCCCAAATCTTCCAACATTTTACAGCTTGGAACAATTGAGGCCCAATCAAGCAAATTATATCATTGGCCCCTTTCCACTGTAGCCCTAACTATGGAAGTCCTTTCTGATCAAGAAAGAATAAAAGAGGAAAAGTTACAGAATATTTCTCCCCTATGAAAAATTCAAACTGAGCTGAGTGAAACATGACTTAGCAAACTCACAAAGTGCTTATGCATTTTTAAAAGAGGCAGCTCTGCAATCTACCCACACTTCAAATGCTCCACCTGCTAATGGTTGT